TGGATTGTATGAAGAAGAAAGTGGCATCAGGAAGAACAAGCTACGGTATGCAGATGATGCAACCTTGCCTGCTGGAAGTGAGCAAGACTTGACCACTTGCTGATGAAGATCAAGTACTGTAACCTACGGCCTGGGTTACATCTCAATGTAAAGAAGACGCAACTTCTCACGACTGGACAAATAGGTAACATCATGATAAATGGAGAAAAGATGGATGTTGTCAAGGATTTTGTCTTCCTTGGATCCACAACCCAAGCAGCAGTCAAGAGATCAAAGGTGTATTGAATTAGGTATATCTGTTGCACAAGATCTCCTTAGGGCATTGAAATGCAAGCATGTTTCTTTGAGGATTAAGGTGCACCTGACCCAAGCCATGGTCTTCTCCACTGTATCATATGCTTGTGAAAATTGAACATTGATTAAGGAAGACTCGATGTATTTGAATTGGGGTGCTGGAGAAGAATATTCAAAGTACCATGCACTTCTAAAAGGGCAAACCGATCTGTATTGGTAAGCCAGAGTGCTCATTAGGGGGAAGGATGGCAAGACTTTGCCTTCCATACTTTGAACATCTTGTCGGGAGAGGCTAGCTCTTGGAGAAGGACATCTTGTTTCATACAGTGTAGGGCAGTGACAAATAGGAGGGTCCTCGATAAGATGGGTCGATCGAGTGGCTGCATCAATGGACTCTGGCATCTGAACACCTGTGAGGATGGCACAGGATGAAGCAGGGTTTGTTCTCTCGTGAAGAGGGGCACTATTGGTTGTTGCCGACCCAATGGCACCTGACAACCACAACTGAGTGGATGTTGTTAACATCATTTTTACATTCAAGAAGATTCTTGTATCTTCTTTTTCCCTCTATCATCGTTCTCTCAAGGCCATACTTACTACTGTTTTGTCCATTTTAAACACAGACATGCTTGAAGTATGAACTTCTGACTTCTGAATGGCCCATAGGTGCCAACGAACCCCTGGAAAGCCTAGAAAACTAGAATTCTAGAAACCTCGACAATAGTGCACCCTAACAAATTGGAACTCCTTTGTGGTATGCATCAAAACACTATTATTATTGTTTATGTTTCTTGTGTATTGTGTCATGTTTCATTACATTTCCCATAAGTTGGAGCTGACTCCAACAACAGGGGGAGTGAATTTTGAGTCATATCTTTAAGGATGAACAGGAAAGGGAATATTTCAGAAGAGGATGAGAGGAGTGCATTATTTTAGCAGAGTGCAACCCTGTGTGTGTGTGTGTGTGTGTGTGTGTGAGTGTGCTGTTGCTGTTGTTAGGTGTTGTCAAGTTGGTTCTCACTCACAGTGACTCTACGTAGAATGAAAGCCAGCCTCGTTGGGCTGCATCCTCACCATTATTCGTCAGCTTGGCGCCCACGCTGGCAGCAATTGCAGCAATCCATCTCACTGAGGGTCTTCCTGGGTCATGCTGACCCTGTACCAAGCATAATGCTGGCGTTGTTTGGGCTATCTAGAGAAGCAAAACCATTGATGTGTGTGTGTGTGTGTGTAGAGAGAGAGAGTGAATAAAGAGAGAGATTTCTAGCAGGCAATGGTTCACACAGTTGTAGAACTGGCTAAGTCAAATGTGGTTCAAGTGTATGAGTCAGATAGTAAGCTGGAAGCAAAATGCAAAAGCTATCACCAATATTATCTATCTGATATGTACTTTGTAAAGGGGGGTGAAACGCTACATACCAGGAAGGGACTCTTTTGCCCAGTTGACTGTTTTGTTCATAGACTCGTGTTAACATAATTTTTGATTCTTCACTTTATTTCCCTTTTAGACTATCCATGTGTAGTTATTCTTCTCAACCACCATTGATCAATAGAAAGATATTGTGAGCCACATATGTGATTTGAGTTTTTTAGCAGATACATTTGAAACTTTGAAAACAAAAACAGGAGAAAATTATTTTAAAATATAGTCTTTAAATAATATTTTAAAATATTGCCATTTCAATTTTTAATCAAAACCTATATTAAGGAGAAAAATGCCATTCATTTTTGTACAGTCTTCAAAATCCAGTGTCTACTTTACACTTAGGCTGCAGTTGTGGTGATGTGTGGTTTGGTGCCATCAAGACAAAGAGTACCCCTCAGTACGACAGAACTAAACACAGCCTGCTCCGACCCCCCACCCCCACCCCAATTGTTCTTATGTCTGAGCCCACGGTTGCAGTTACTATTGCAATCCATCTCCTTGAGACCCGCTTTTTCACTGCCACTCAACTGGACTGAGCACGATGTCCTTCTTCCAGAACTGGTCTCTCCTGCTAGCATATCCAAACTACGCAAAACAAAGGACCCTCAGCCTTGCTTCTAAGGAGCACTCTGGCTCGCCTTCCACCATCCTCCAGGAGAGAGCTGTTTGTTCTTTAGGTAGTCCATAGGACTTCCAATATTCTTTTTTTTAATACTTTCAATATTCTTTGCCAACATCATAGGTCACATGCATAGACTTTTCTTTGGTCTTCCTTTATTTGGTGTCTAGTTTTCACTTGCCTCTGAAGCAAATGAAAGAGAAAAAACACATTTCAATTAGGAGTACCTTAGTCCTCAATGTAACATCCATGCTTTGCAATACTTTAGAAAGCTCTTGGGCAGCAGATTTACCTAATGGAATGTGTTGTTCAATCTCTTGACTGTTGCTTCTATGGCTCTAAGCAAGATGAAACCCTTGACAACTTGTCGATCGGTTTGTTATACTGAGAGGACCTGTGCATTGCGGGGATGCTGAAGGCACTATATTGCTGGTATTTTCAATAGCAGACGGGTCACTGAAAACGATGAGATTTCAGCAGAGCTTCCAGTCCAAGAGCAAACTATGAAGAAGGGTTATCCATTTCAGAGGAATTAGGCACTGGAAACCCTATAGATGAGTTATGCTTATAGCACATCTCAATTTAATTACATGCGGCTAATCACTATTCTTTTAAGTAGTTATAATTAGTTAGCATTTCTCAAAATATTTACAATATGCAATGTGCTTTACTTGCATTCTTTCCGTTAATCCGCATAGCCACACTGAAGTGTGCATTCCTGGGCTCATTTCACAGCTGAGAAAACTCAAACCTAGTGTGGTTAAGTTATTTACTTAAGGTCCACTCCTGGGAAGGGTGGCACTGTGGTTGGACATAGAATCCGACTTCAAAATAATGCACTGGATTCAAAAGAAAGCCATCCGGAGAGTATGACAGATTCTGAAGCTTTTATGAGGAGATGTGGAAGATTATACACTAGAGTGGGGGCTACTTAACAGCAGGTCACAAGGTGTCTAGAAACATGTTTGAAAGAGAGAAACATTTTGAGGCAAAATGTGGTTGGGGGTAGGGGTAGGATTAGTGTACCCAGGAAGATCGTGCCACCCGTATCCCTCGGAGTTCATTCATTCTCTGCCAGTGTATTTGTTTGGCAACCATTCGATTGCCACATACTTAGAACAGAATGAGTTCTCGGTCTTCTATTTCAACCTTCCATCTGCTACACAATGTTTGGGTCAAAGTATGTGTCATGGTGCCTGGTATAAATTAAGACTCGGGTCTCCCCACAACCTGGATGCCATGTCTTTGTTATAAAGGTCTGTAAAATATCATCCTGGTGTCATGGATTATACAAATGTGCACAAATGGCAGTTTCCTCCTTTTCCTTCACACAATGTTAAAAATGAGTGAAATGTGTTTCCCATTGCACTTCCCCTGTGCTTAGGGACCCAATGAACTCATTTTAAGTTTCCACATCTTTATAAAAATGTTTTGTTTTTACTGAAATATGTTTTTGATCAGGAACATAATTTCGTGATTGCGCGTGTGTTGCTGAAGCAAATATGTATATGGAACAAGTGCACAGAGACGGGCTTGCACTTCAGTGACAGATCCCAGGGCCGAGGCTGCTCAAGTTCTAACTTCAGCCTAATCAGTAATTCACTAGGTGATTTTAGAAGATGGAACCAATTTCTGCTCATGATTTCTTTTTCATAGATCTCTTATGCTCTTACTGACTCTCATTTCTGGATTTGTACAAGAGCCAAACCCACTGCCATCAAGGCCCATTCTGATTTACAGCAACTCTGGGGGACAAGGTAGAATGCCCCCAAAGGATTGTCAAGGCGGCAAGCCTTGCCAGAATCAGATTACCAGAGGGTGGCCGGTAGATTGGAGCTGCCAGTTGTTCAGTTATCAGTCAAGCATTTTCACCACGATGCTACCAGGCCTCATAGATTTGTATAATGCTAAATATAATAGGTCTATTTCAGTAATCTTTGTTTGTTGAAGATTAACAAGCTGTTGATAATCTTTATGCTATAGATAGGCTTCAGCTCAAAATTGAGCAGTGTCTAAACTTCAGACGAGCTCTACAATATCATCATCATCATCATTATTTACTGAAACTTGGAACATGTGGCTCGTTATTTCAAGGGAACACAAAATATTGATATATGTTATCTTGCTTACCCACGCTCATCTAGCAGCCTCAATCTTGTGGGATGGACAAAAGATCTTCTTCCTATAGTAAAGTTAATTCTGGTACCCAGGATAATAACTTGCAGTTAAGAAACATTTGTGGACTTTTTGTCAAAAGAGCTTTACACGCATCATTTACTTAACATGGCATGAGTTACATGTGTTAGCTGTGTTTCACGAATAAGGACGTTACCTTGCTCAAAGTTAATAAGTGATTAAGTTAGACATTGAATCGAGATAATTTCAAACCCCACGCTTATAAACAGTAAGTCGACTCAGCATTGTGTCAGGAAAGAACTTATTATAATACTTTGCAAATTGATATAGGTCTCGATGCTCTCAAGAGTAAAAGCTAAAACTCTCAGCTCTCATCTCCTGTGTTTACTACTGTGTTACACCTTGAATATAATCACAGTGCTTCCGCAAAGGGAAAAGTAAACTAGTAAAATAACTGTTCCTTCCTTTGATCCTATTCTGGACTTTAAAATTGCTCCTACTTACTCTCTTCCTCTCCCTTCTTAGGAACCCTGGGAAGTAAGGGACTGCATATTTTCAACTTGACATCTCTGACCAAGTCTGAAAACATTTTGTCTGCCACACTGTATTTCTACATTGGAGAGCTACGAAACATCAGCCCGAGTTGTCCAGTATCCCAGGGATGCTCACATCACCCTCCAAGGAAACACATTCAGATTGATCTCTCTGCGTGGGTCCTCCAATCCAACAGAAACCAAAGTCAACTCCTAGGTCGTCTTTCCATAACTGTGGCCAGACCTCATCGGGACGGCATGTCCTGGCTGTCTAAAGACATCACTCAATTCCTGAGGAAAGCCAAGGAAAATGAGGAGTTCCTCGTGGGATTTAATATAACCTGCAGAGGACACCTGCTGCTAAAGGGAATGCCACCCTTCCCAGAGCCTTATATCTTGGTGTATGCCAATGATGCTGCCATCTCTGAGCCAGAAAGTGTAGTGTCCAGCTTACAAGGGCATCAGAATTTCCCCACGGGGGCATTGCCCCAACTGGATAGCCATATCCGGGCTGCTCTTTCTATACAAGGGAGGAAGAAGCGTTCCACTGGGGTCCTGCTGCCTCTGCAGAACAATGAGCTTCCTGGGGCAGAATACCAGTATAAGGAGGATGGGGTCTGGGAGGAAAGAAAGCCTTACAAGACACTTCAGACGCAGCCCCCCGAGAAGAGTAAGACCAAAAAGAAACAAAGGAAGGGACCTCACCAGAAAAGCCAGACACTCCAGTTCGATGAGCAAACGCTGAAGAAGGCTAGGAGAAAGCAGTGGATTGAACCTCGGAATTGTGCCAGGCGATACCTTAAAGTTGACTTTGCGGATATTGGCTGGAGTGAATGGATTATCTCTCCCAAGTCATTTGATGCCTATTATTGCTCCGGAGCATGCCAGTTCCCCATGCCAAAGGTATCAATTGTTCCATGTCTTTGGTCCCTTCCTATTTCCATAAGGTAGAAAAATGCTGCCTAGCATCTAGGCATCTTGGTGGGTTAAGTTTGTGCTTTCAAGCTAAAAAACCCCATCTGTTCCCTTTTCTTACTGCATTCTAATGTGTAATAGGTAATATGGTTGTGTCTAAGTTTTCATCAATGGTTGTTAAAGTAAGATGAACTCAGGATTGATATGAAGAAGATATGAGGGAAATGTCTGTGGAAAATATGGTTTTGCACCGCTTCCAAACACGGTACACGTTCGGTTGTGTGGTCGTGAATCTCTACTTCTGACAAGGAGCAAGCCCTCATAGTACATGGCTGACTAGTGAGGATGTGTTCGGGGAACAAGGAGACATCACAGGAGCTAATCTGATTGATACCCGGATGCAGAACATGTTTTTGTGCATTGCCTCCTGTGAGATGGGCTGTCCTGAGAGAGGTCAGGGTCGGGGTTGGGACAGGTACATTGGCCTCAAGAACCCTGCCAGATGTGGATACTGTTTGCTTTCCTGATAAGCAACCAAGAGAAGGGCAACATAGAGGATGATAAATGTCTTCCAAGATCTATTTCAAGCCGTCAGAACTTGCCTATGTCTCTTCCAAAACCAAGAGGGACTGCAATTTATCATACCGGTGCTTGGTATCTTAGCAAATATGTTTTCAGCAGCCTCTTTAGCCCCTACCCCTATCTTGCACAGCCAGTCCAAGTGACTGTTCTTAGTGAGTTCAGAGTGGGTACGACAGGCCGGGGCCCTCCTCCCTGCAGCTAGAATGTACTTGCATCCTCAGCTTGTAATCATCTGAATGTTTGTGATACCATGAAGAATGTATCACAGGAGTGGAATGCAGAATAGAATTTTGCATAAAACTTGAAGTTCATTAGTTCTTCCTGTTGTTTGATAATGAACGGGGGTGGTGGGGGGAATCCCATGTCTCGGCTACTGACCAACTTCTTCATAGATCCTTAAAGGAGCATGCTCATGTGCCAGCCCCATTAGCATTGGGGTCCTAAGTGTAACACATGCAGAAAGCAAAGGGCCAATTTTAAGAATCTGGGTCAATGGATCCAGGAACTCAATCAATATCCCATTTCCTTTTCAAATTGTTCCAGAGGGATAAGCCTTCTGCACTCTAAAGCATTGCTTCTTTTTCAGGATGTTTGCAGATTTCATATTTGGTAAAGACAAACACAAAGCAAATATTACATACGTGATTATATAGAAGACCCGGGTGATGCAAATAATTAACATCCTTGGATGCTAGCTGAAAGGTTGGCAGTTTCAGTCCATGTTGACACACTTAAAAAGAAAAGGCCCCAATATCTGCTTTTGAAAGAAAAATCAGCTCTTAAAAACTTATGGAACAGTGTCTACCCCTCCCCCCACATATGTCCACCATGAGTTAGAATAGACTTGCTGGAAAGTGGAAAGAGGATGCTTATGTGAAGACCTATGTCTTGCATAAATAATCATCAAGGTCATTTTACTAATCAAAAATATTTTAAACTGGGCTAACATTATTAAATGGGCATACAAAAAGATGATACATTTAACGCCAATTTAACATCAAGTCGATTCTGACTCAAAGCAACCATATACAAGATTTCTGAGGCTGTTCATCTTTGTAAGAGCAGGTAATTTCATCTTTTGACCAGTAGAGTAGCTGGTAGGTCTGAACTGCCAGACTTGCGGTTCCCAGTCGAAAGCTTATTTGACAGAACCACTAGGGCTCCCAAAGTAGGCAACAGGCAGCGAGGCATCTATATGTTATCGTGTGGCTTGCTTTTATAACATTGAGAGGTTAGAATGGATTCAAAATGTATTTCTTACTAAGATGACTGATTTTAAACAGGTCTCTTGGGTTTTTAAAAAAAATCTCTTTAGCTTGGGGGAGAAGTTTGTGTTTTTATTTTCCTTCCGAACTCCAATTTTCAGACTGAGGGAACTATGATAATATGAAGATAATCCGTTTTCTTTCCAACCCATATCTCCAGAGAACAGGCCTGGTCTCCCTTTCCACCGTCACCCCATCTTTTCAGCCGTCCGTCCCAACACCTTCTGGTCCAGTCTGCTTTCTGGTCATTGCTTCAGTCGCACTTCACCCTGATTCTTATGCACCTGAAGAATAACAGTAATTTAAACAAGGATGAGGAGTAAGTAGAGAATGGCAGAGAGAGTTTTTTTAGTGAGGAGAGCATGGTAATGCAGCAGAATGATTAAGTTCACATAACTGCTCAGCGGCGCTTTTCCCATTTTTTTAAATTTCTAAAATATGCTTCATCTTTATTCCTACCCTGTTTAAAAGATTGTATTGTTTTCTTGGCGAAAGTTTACATAGAAAATTAGCTTTCCCATCCATAGCTCAGACTCAAATTCTCCCATGACACTCTGTTGTAATCCCAGCAACGTGTCAGCACTCAGCTTTTCCTCCCTGCCTTCCACTTTTCCGTTCAGTCCCCTGCCCTTTGCAGCCTTTTCTTTGCTTTTGGGAAAATGTTGCCATTTTTATCTCATGTAGATAATGGTTCTAAGGAGCATATTATTCCCATGGGTTACTGTTGACTTTCTAGGTCCATTTATTAAGTGGCTGAAAGGTGGCTTCGGGAAGCATCTTCGGTTTTAAAGTAGAAGGTTGTTTCGGGTGAGAATTTCAGAGTGCTCCATCAGTCTTTTTCCAACTCGTAAATCGGGTCTGGTTTGTTAAGTCTGAATTTTGCTCTACTTCTTTCTACCAGTTCTTCCTGCTATCTTTTATTACGATCCTGATCAGAATGATCACTGGCAGTCCATGGCACCATCCGATTCTGTTGCTCTCAAGTGAGAGGAGATTGTGATTCATGGGAGCCGTTAGTCCCTGTCTTTTTCATTTGCTTTGCGTGGGAAGAGATTAATAATTGCTTCTTAGCTGGTTGCTTGAACGCATTTCGGACCTGAGCTTTTTAAGATGGTGAGATTTTTTTAAGGCTCTTAAAACTAGGGCGTAGGACATTAATTTATGAATCGTGTCTTGCCAATTGACCTGGCTGTCCTCTGCCACCATGGCCTTCCGATGTCAAGCCCAGTAGTTCAGTTCCCATAACTAAGAAGGTTCTACACGTATTCCCCATGTTCTCTTATATCTAACAGCATTTGAAAATTTGCATGTAGAAATATCCACCACCATATCTATACCTGAGCACTGCTTTGGTGATGTTCCAAAGATTTTGGTACATTGTGCTTTCCTTCTTGTTTGAGACTAGGCAGATTTTATTTTATCATTGCTTTAGTTACTCATTTCTCGTAAAGTAGGGTATTATTCAATTTCTGTGGATTAGATTGTTTCCTGGTTCTTTCTGCTGTTGATTTCTAATTTTATAGCATGGTAGTCATAGAAGATGCTTTGGATTATTTCAGTTTTAAAGTTAATTTAGGTTTATTTTGTGACCTAAAATACAGTCTGTTCTGAAAAATGCTCTACATGTATCGAAAAAGAAGGTGTATTGAGCTGCTTTGGGGTGACGTGTTGTGTATATGTATGAGATCAAGTTGGTTGATTGCGTTGTTTAGATCTTCGGGTTTGGGGTAGTTATTCCATGCTTTATCTCTCATGTGCACCCTACAGTCTTGCACTTTCTGCCTCTCCGTCCTCATTACTGAGACTCAGGTGACTTAAGTCTGTTGCACTAGCTTTAGATACATATCCCCGTGGCTCCCTGATTACAAATCTCCCCAGAGATGTTTACCTTGAACTCTCTGCCCACAGTGGCGCTCTCTTCGCGGTTCTTTAAAGCAGCCTCTCTGCTCCTTGCCATCAAGTCTCCGTCAATCCAGGCGTCTCTGCTCTGCAGGCCAATTTCTGCCTCTTCCTGGTGCTTGGTCTATTTCCTTTTGACGCTCTGGAATCGGGCGTCGTTTCTGGAGTCTGGATGGCACAGTACTACATGTTGGGCAGCTAACCACAAGGCCGGCTGTTTAAAATCACAGGACCCTCTGAGGGAGAGACATGGGGCTTTGACAATGAGTTTGGTTTTAGTTTGGGGGTGTTTTTTTTTTGCTTAGCGTATCAGGTCTTTGTGGCCAAGTGTTACTTCTGGTGAATGAATCTACAGTACTCTGTCTCTGGGCTTCTGCAACTTTAAGGCGCCTACAGTTTGCCTGGGAATTCTGTTACTAAGTAGGTTCTAATTTAGAGATAGAGCCTGAAATGCTGCCTTCCTGACAAGCTCCTAGTTGAAGCTGATGCTACCGGTCCATAAACCACTCTTGAATCATGACAATCGACAGGCAAACCCTTTAGCTTCACCACTTACCAACTATGGATCTTCAGGGAAGTTACTCTCACATGTTGGTTTTCTCCTATTTAAAATGAGTACAATCATGCATGATAAAACCATCGTGTATATATAATAGAAACAGTGGACCAAGTGATTGGGGAGTAGGGTAACTAGCCAGTCGTCAGCAGTCAATAATATTTGCTGTTGGCATTTTCACTAATTGGCATTATTGAGCCTGAACAGCGTGGAAAATTAAATATAGGAGGTTGAAGGCAATATAGGGAAAGGAATCAAGAGAATGAAATAAATAAGGCAATGATAGTTTTCTGTATGTTCCTAGTGTTTTTCAAACATGAAGCCTAAAACGGGATTCTCCCCAAGGGTTCGAACAGCCCCTAAGCTCTTCCAGGAAGCTCCCTTCGGAGGGCAATAGAATGGGGAGTGCATCAGATGCAGTAACCGAACTCATCACCCTATCTGTCAAAACTAGGAATGGCATCAGAACCCTAGGGAGACATAACGGGGGTAAGTGTGGAGCTTCCTCCCAGAGCTGCACAGTGACTTTTGCCAAGTGGAGAGTGGAAGTTTGGCTGTTACATGGAGTTCTCAATCTCTCATCACCTTGTGCGGATCTGCTTAACCTTTAAAGCTTTCTAGTGGTTTCCCTTAAGTCTTCCAAGTTTTCTGTCTCTCAAATGGTACAGTAACCAAAAGGATGGGAAGCATTAGGCAGCATAAAACTGCTAAGGTAATTAATAAGCATCATTGTTATCACTACAGTGTCCAATAGAGGAAGCACAGTCACTTTTAAATAAAAATATTGTCAGAGCAACAGAGGAAAATAAAGGTCTCTGACCAGCTCAGTACAAACACATGTGGAATAACTGAGGTGCCAAAGAACTTTCAGACTTTCGGTATACATTTTGCCCTAGAGAACAGCTCTCCCAGGCTAGACTTCACCGTTGGCCCTGCTTCACTTTGGCCTCCTGAGCAAAAGCCTGCTCTATATGCCGGGCTCTTCGTCTGCAAAGGCAGACAACCTGTTCTGTAATTCAGAACAGCTGTGCTCTGCTTTTCCCAAATTCCAGGCTTTGCCCTTTGGCTGATTTCAATTAGATCGTTTCTGGGCTATCACACCCATGTGGGCTGAACTGGGATAGTGGGAGCAAAACCCCATGGCCCAGGTCAGGAATGAACGCTCTTAGCTGATGACACACTCTCCCCTGCTAAGGCATTGGAATCAAATTCAACTTGCGGACATTAAATACAGCTTGGCAGGTATGGGGCCGACCATGGAAGATTTCATTCACAGGCACAGCAGTTTGGAGATATATATACATACATCTTTGTGCCTTTGCCCGCCTCTCCCTCACCACCTGAGCAGAGATGGAAAACAGAGAGTCAGAGTGAAACGGAGCAGCCACTGTAGCTGAAGGATATTCAAGAGAGCCCACAAGGTTGAAAGGAGTGAAGTTATTTTTGTAAGGAACAGTGCAAAGGCCAGGAATTGCAATACACCCTAGTTAATGTCCTACTTTCCATTTTCAATCTGTGATCATGAAAAGGTAGTCTTAAAACAAGCATCCACACCCTGATTCTTAAATACTGAATTTAACCCCCAAAACGCAGTGCTATTAAGGTGATTCCAACTCATGATGATCCCATATGACACAGAGTGGGTCCACTCCTTAGGATTTTCTTGGCTCTAACCTTTCTGGAAGCATGTCACTGATTTGAACCACCAACTCTGAGGTTAGTAGACAAATGTCAAGTGTTTGTGCCATTGAGGGACCTTAATATCCAGAATTTAGGTAAGCAGAAAATTAACCTACACTGATATTGAAGTTGTGTACCCTTTTGAAAAAGAGAGACTGGTGAAGGAACTCACACAGGTTCCCATTTGTGATGGATCTATCTAAACTGTGTGAAAAGTGCCATAACTAGTGGTATCTGAATTTTTTAAAAAAAATTAATTATGGCTGGCAATACACTTCAAATTAGAAAATAACTGCATGGGCCTTTTTGTGCATGACGCAATGGCTTGTGATAATGTCACCTTGATGAGAGGATTCCACAGTGGGGAAAAGAGATGCTAGGCTCTCTTGAAAACTGAAAAATCCCTAATGAGACACACCACCCCCAAATGAAGGGCTTGTGTCTGGATTCCTTTCCTCTCTCCAGAGACTGGCTCATAGTTTCTGAATCTATCATTTGTGAGCTTTAAAAAAAATAGGAATTTTCCTAGGAAATGCCATGAATATTTTCCATATCTACATGAGTCACTTGAAGGGAATCTTTTATTGTTGATGGGAATTGTTGATGGGAATTATTACCACAGAAATAGGTGAAAGTGAGGGTATGCTATGCATTTCATTATTTGGAAAGTGCTTATTCGGTGCCTAGAATATACACTGCTCTAGGCACTGGGGAATGGTAATTTGTGGCTATCTTTCACCCATGACCTCGTCCAATTAAACAGATACACTCTATAGAAAAAGTAGGAACTTTGTAGAAAGTCTTGAGATGTTAACAACAGGAGAATAAAGTTATAAAACCTATGACTTAAAAAAAAGTATTTTAGGTTTTGTGCTAAAAGGTCTTGACAATGACTTCAAATCAATCAAGAAAAGTAAATGGCTGCAAGCGTTTTCTTTAGAACTTAACTATAAACCAGCAACACACCAAGCAAAACAGTGAAGCAGCTGCCATTGAATGGGCTATAATTGGTGGCGACCCCAGGTGTTTTACAGTAGAACTGCCGTCCATGCAAGGTCATGGCTGTGACCTTGCAGAAGCAGATATCCGGGCTTTTCTTTGGGGGTGTCTCTGTGCTCATACTGCCAACCTTTTGGGAAGTAGCCAAGTGCTTAACCATTCATGCCGCCCAGGGACTCTGATCCAATCACAACCTGGGACAATTGTAAAATCCTCTTTGCAGTGTGTCAATCACACATATCTTATTAGCGACATAGGCCATACGCTCTGCAAGTTAATCATATAGACATCCATTCTGTAAGGGGAAAATGCTCTGATTTATAAAGCTGATTAATAGAAAGTTAACAATACTCATTAGCATATGCAGCCTCCAGAAAGAAGGGGAACGGCAAAAATAGAGGAAAGCCCTCCCTGAGACGAGCCGGCACTGTGGCCGAAACAACGGGCTCAGACATCAGAGCGAGTGTGCGGGTGGCCAGGACCAGGCAGCGTTGGGTGCTGTCAAGCAGAGAGTCGCTATGAGTTAGAAACCACTCAAGGCTCCTCACAACAACGGCAGAAAGACTGAAAACAGTTGTCAGTCATTGAGCCCGTGTTTTAGGGTTTTACACCTATTAAGACAACAGCTGAGGGCTTATGTGTAGCTGAAGAGTTATCACTAAAATGGAAAGATATGATCAGAGAAATCGGATATGCCTTTTGTTTTGGGTCAAGAAAATTCCCAAGTTTTTACAGGATGCCAGTTTCTATATGCCATGTTTCTCCCAGGTTCCTATGGGAGGAGTTTGAAGAGTGAAAAATTAAAATATCAGTTCACTGGGGTAGGAGTGCCTCAGTCATGGGCAAGCCTGGCTCAAAACCCTGAGATTGAAAAAGGCCAGGTTTGGACCTAAACCCTACTACTGGATTCACATATGATCTCCTGCACATTACCAAACCATGCTTCCCAATGTGTTCTCAGTTCAACGGATTTCTCCTGCCTGAAAGATACGAAAATGTATGGTATATCTCATGAAAAATATGCATAAAGAGGAAACTATATATACACACATATATCACCTTAGTGCACTTGTACTACGTGAACATTCTAGACTTGCAATGCTTTTAGGTAGAGCAGAGTTGTAGAGGGCTCTTTAAATAAAACCATATGTTTGACATGAATGATCATGATTCCACTGGGCATTTTCTCAGGGAAGAGATTTTACCCAGGCTTCTTTGGTCAAACTCCTGACATCCATGGGATAGCCTTGGGCGCCTTCAGGTTATTCCCAGGAGATGTTGACCAAGTGCAGTACAGAACCCATGGAGCAACAGTGACCCCCAGTGGTCAATGGTTTGGTCTTCTTAACCCCAGTTTGGGACATCTGAGTTGAATAACGGAATAAAGACCATCCAATTCAACCTCTGGTAACTATTCAATCAATGTCCCTCTGGCTGACTATTTTTTAAAAGACAAAATATAAGTATCACCATCACAACAGTCTCTGAGGATTTCGATTAACAGGATGCTTTATGATTAGCATAGGGCCAAGAACAAATGGTTTTCAACCATACCATTGCCGAGAAAACAACCTAGGAGGTATTCATCCCCCAGATTAGCTCTGAATACAATATAGTGTTTGGAATTGATCTTTATTAGAGATCAGGTTTCTATTCTTCACTCTGTCACTTGCTGGCTATTTGAACATAGACATGCCATTTACATTTCTTGAGTCTGTGTTCTTACATGATATCGCTAAGAAAAGCTGATTTTGTACTAAAGACTGGAGATAGAGCATGCAACAGCCTGGTGTGTGGCAAGCAGCTAATAAGTGAGAATCGTTTGGGTGTGGCAGTATGAGAGGCTGAGCTGAGGGTGAAAAAGATGAAATGACATCTATTAAGCATTCGAAAGTTAATTCTTCATAATGTGATATGAGCTACGTGATATGAGCAGTGAAAAATGAGTTCCTTTTCATATATATGTCTTCTGTCTTTTTTTCTAGTCTCTGAAGCCATCAAATCATGCCACCATCCAGAGTATAGTAAGAGCTGTGGGTGTCGTTCCTGGGATTCCTGAGCCTTGCTGTGTGCCTGAAAAGATGTCCTCACTCAGTATCTTATTCTTTGATGAAAATAAGAACGTAGTGCTTAAAGTATATCCTAACATGACAGTAGAGTCTTGTGCTTGCAGATAACCTCACAGAGAACTCACTTAATTCAATCATTATTTCATGGACTTTTTTTTGCACTGCCAATGCATTTTGTTCCCCGCCCCCTCCCCGCAAATATTTCTTTTTATAACTGTCAAAAGAGAATGAGCAGTAGAGAGAAGATTTCTACCAAGGAGAACTGGCCTGGGCTTTTCCTTTTTCTGAATGTGACTGAAGGCAAGGTCTTCCTAAATATGGATCTCAATTTCTTTCTTTAATCACACAAGAAAAAATGATCACTCGAACTGTTTTTAGAACTCAAGAGAACACGCCGATTTATTTTTGTAATGGGCTTTGAAAATAGATTGGGAAGACAGCACACCGCATCACTTCTCTCTCCTCACTCACAACTAAAGGGGAATTGAGAGTCATTTCATATTTGGAAGTGGGCATATTGGCTTCGATTCCTGGGAAACTCAGAAAGTGCTAAATAATCTAATCAAATTTGATGTTCATCTTAAACGTTTTTGAGAATTCTGCTTACTCACATTTTCCTCCACATATCAATGAGTGGTAGTGTGTGCTGTGTGTTAGGGGTGCATGTATGTGTGTTCATGTGTCAGGTGCTTATGCCCTGTGCAGGAAGTTTTGCTGAACCTGGTGTACTAAGCTGGGTTCTCTAGAGAAATATAAACATTCTTGATTACCCTCCTCTCTCTCTCCATGTAGGTATATAGAGATATAGAGCTATATCTTCATACCTACATGGAGAGAGAGGAATTTACATCAAGAAAATGGTCCACACTGTCGTAGAAGGGGGTATATAGAGTCCCTATTCCATGGATCAGATGTTAAGCTGGAAGCTTCTCCTGACTCACATACTTTGGGGGCTGGTGAACCCAAGAGTGAAAGGAAGACGACAGGATGCTACCATGCGGCAGAAACAGATCAATCTGAGATCAATAGGCTAGACTTGTGACTGGAGTGGCAAATGAACCCAAGTTTCGCAGATCAGATGGCTGGTTGCTGATGCCTCCTGGAACTGGCAGGCGATATGGCAGACCATGGGCTCATCAGAATAGCTGGAGGCCAATGATTCTTATGCAAGATCTAGACTTAACAAAAAACAAGCAAACTTTCCCAGTGTATACTTTTAGAGGAAGTAGGATCTCCCCTCAAACCCACCCCC